ATGTAGCCCTCTAACATCCAAAGATGTTCCCTGATTCTGCAGTTTAGGAGAGAGAGAACATGTCTCCGATCTCCATCTTTATTTTGTGGGCTTGCCAACATTTTGTGTAGAGGGGCAAATAAGAATTAGAAACAAGAGATTTAGGGTCTCAACATACTACTCCAACAGGTGACAATTTGGATCTCCAAGGAGACAGGTATTCATGGAATTGAGTTTCATCCTTGGGCAACACATTTATCTGAGATCAAAAGGAGTGTGGAGGGTGAGAGACAGGGAGCCAGGTTATGGAGTCACATGGGCTGAACAGGGAAAGTGTTCTCAACAGCATTGACTGCTAAGACCCACAAGATCTTGGCAAAGACAGGTTGCCGCTTCCCATATCAATGAGTGTGATACCCAATTACACTGTTCACTTAAAAGGTCCTGTCTGTGATGTTCTTTTAGAAGTTGCTTTGGCTCTGAATTGTGCTGATGGTGACAAGTTAGTGCTCTCTGGGGACGCCAGAGGGAGGCAGGGCTGAGGGAGTGCTGACTTTGGAGCTTGGAGGAGACAGTCAGCTTTGCCGAGGTCCTGGGGTGGGACATGGCTCCAGTCAATAACCAGGAATTGATCTCTGTCTTCTCTTTTGTCATGTAAGTTCTAATGTTCTCACTAAGTGCTGGCTAGGAGCCTGGGGTTTTGAATGTCCTTAATTTGGGATACTCTTCAAGGACTGGAGAGTGTCTGAGTTTCCTTTTATTGGCATAAGATTCACTTTGGGAGTACAGGAGGTCATGACTTGTGTGGGAACCACGTACCTCTTCTGCTGTCCCTCATGAACTAACCTTGGTTCAATGTTGTTTCCCAGGTGCAGATGGGGCAGGACTCAGAAAATGCTTTAACAATATAACAGGCTACTGCAGGAAGAAATGCAAAATAGGGGAAATCTATGAAGTGGGATGTCTAAGTGGGAAATTATGTTGTGTTAATGAAGAAGAAAGCAAAATATATTTGAAAGCCCATAAGCCACGAGAACCTGATGGCGAGGTGTCCGATGGGAAGATGGACTACGTTATTTTGCCCACCATCACCCTTTTCACAATCCAACCCTAAAGCAAGCCCATGTCTCACTGGTCTCCACTCTTCCTAAATAAAAAAATGCTGCCTAATCCATCAGGCTGCAGCAAGAGATTTATCTGCTTCCTTCTGTGAACTTGATTCCCCACCTAATAAAGTCCTATGCTGTTCCCTGGATTGATTTATTGATGTAGTCCGTCACTCATTTTTTAAAACACTTCAAACACGAATGAAGTTGCCATGTTCCAGTTATTATACTACTAAGATGGGGGAGATAAAGTTGAAGTGAACACATTGGTAGAGGTGGAAGTTAGCTTTCTGTTTTCCATGCAAGACAATAGTCAATAGAATTTCAGGATTTCAAGTGTTTCTCCTTTTTTAAAAACTGAAATTTGTTATGTCCAAGCAGATCTGAATGCCCCAACTTTGTGTGTGTGTGAGTGCATGTACCTGTGTTTATGAATATAGAGGATTTTGCTAAAAGCTATAATACGTTAGAGGGAAGAAAGACATTTGAACATTTTCATGACATTTATTGGGGTAGATCTGATAGGCAGTCATGACAGCTAGTGGTAATTCCAATATATATAATTTAAAACTCATTTAATGTGCCTGCTCCATCTCCTTTTAAAGTAGCAATTTGAATGACTAGTTGACACAATTTTCAGACAAACATTACTCTTAGGATCTTTGAAAGCAGTGCATGTTCTGTTTGTTTCAATAGTGTGAAATTTAAAGTCTTATTGAGGAGGACATGTTTAAGAAGCTCCTCATGAGCTAGATAAAATTGCAGTAGGGCATGATGGTAGGAACTGCTCTCCATATGAGAAGAACAGAAACTTTTGTAGTGACATCCATTGATGTTTCTTGATTGAAAGCATTGACCATAAATAACTTTGGTGGAGCTAACATTTACTCATGAAGGATAAAGAAATCAATAGGGCTTCTTCCTCCATGAGCAGCTCACCATCTTGTTTTACTGGGGAGACAGACAAAAATTGAGATGGATATGTTCAAGTTTCAAGAGCACCCAAGGACCTTCATTTTAGTAATTGTGGCTTTTGGGAATTTCGGAGAAGTGTGTAGGAAACAATGACTGGACCTTGATTGCAGAATTGAAGACGTTTTTGTTGATGATTTCAGCACTGTGGAAGCTAATATATGGCTGTTTACAACTTAATTCTGAGAGAGTTTTTAACATAAGTCTTACATAAGAAAGCCTTTTTTTTTCATTGAAACTTTTCACAAGCACCTCTCCTTTTGAATCTTCTATCATAGTGTCAGGAGGGGCAATTTTAAGAAGGGTTATTCTGTCACTGTAAGACTGAAGATGGGTCTGGCTTACTGTTTTTAATCTATATGTGTCCTCTACTCTATATGAGTCCATTGAGAAATTAGATCTGAGAATCCATTTGGCTCAGTTAGTGTCAGATAAATCAGGGAAATGTCTCCTGAGTTGGAGGAGATGGATATAATTAACTGAACAGATAAAATTAAGCCTTGAATTCTACTTTGACTGGTTGGACCTAATCTTTGCTTTGACTTTTTTCCCATTAACCTATATCCTCTCCATACTCATAGGAGAAGTAGGTGTGGTCGGTATTGTTAGATGTATGTTTATTTGTCTACCTTATTTTTATATGTTAATGAAAAATTAAATTAAAATCCTGTATTTTCATTATTTACCCTTTTGGTACAGGCATGTTATTTTTCTTGGATCTATTTTAGAGCATTTTCCAAAATCTAATTCATAGATTTTTTTTCTTTTTTGAGACAGAGTCCCACTCTATTGCCTGGGCTAGAGTGCCGTGGCATCAACCTAGCTCACAGCAACCTCAAACTCCGGGGCTCAAGCAATCCTTCTGCCTCAGTCTCCCGAGCAGCTGGGACTACAGGCATGCGCCACCATGCCCGGCTCATTTTTTCTATATATTTTTAGTTGTCCAGCTAATTTCTTCCTATTTTTAGTAGAGACAGGGTCTCGCTCTTGCTCAGGCTGGTCTCGAACTCCTCAGCTCAAATGATCCTCCCGCCTCGGACTCCCAGAGTGCTAGGATTACAGGCATGAGCCACCGCACCCAGCCCATAGATTATTTTTTTATTTGTGCACATTTACAGGGTACATGTGAAATTTTGTTACATGTATATTATGGATAGTGATTGAGTCAGGGTATTTAGGGTGTTCATCATGTGAGTATATTACATTTTTGTTAAGTATAGTCACCCTACTCTGCTATCAAACATTGAATTTATTCCTTCTGTTTAACTGTATGCTGGAACCCTTTAACTCTCTTCATCCTCCCCTCTCCCCAACTCACCCTTCTCACTCTCTGTTATCTCTCTTTCCACTCTCTGCCTCCATGTGTTCAAATTTTTTAGCTCCCACATAAAAGTGACAACATGGATATTTGTCTTTCTGTGCCTGGATTATTCCACTTAAGATAGTGACCTACAGTTCCATCCATGTTGTTGCAAATGACATGATTTTATTCTTTTTAACAGCTGAATAGTATTCCATTATGTATATATACATTTTCTTTGTCCATTTATCCACTGATGGACATTTAGGTTGATTCTATTATTATATCTTTGTTATTGTGAATAGTGCTACAATAAAATGGGGGTGCAAGTGAAATATATTGCAGGTGCAATGTATTGATATGTTGATTTCTTTTCCTTTGAATACCCAATAGTGGGATTGCTGGACCATACAGTGGTTCTATTTTAAGTTTTTTGAGAAATCTCCATACTGTTTTCCATAGTGGCTGAACATTACGTAATGTAACATTACCACCAACAGTTTACAAGAGTTCTCCTTTCTCCACATTCTTGCCAGCGTTGGTTATTCTTTTTAGTAATCACCATTCTAACTGGTGTAAGATGGTATCTCATTGTGGTTTTGATTTGCATTTCCCTGATGATTAGTGATGTTGCACATTTTTCATATACTTGTTGGACATTTGTATTTCTTCTTTGGACAAATGTCTATTCTATTCATGGCCTTTGTCCACTTTTTAATGGGATTATTAAATATTTGGGTTTTTTCCTATTGAGTTATTTGAGTTCCTTGTATATTCTGGTTATTAGTCCCCTGTTGGATGAATAGTTTGCAACATGGAAAATGAGTGTGAAATGTCGTTGGAGAAGAAACTTTCCATGTTGAGCATATTCAGAAGGCACATCTTTAAGCATTAGGCAGAGCATAGACTTGGATTATTCTTGTGTTGTCTTGCATATCAAGACAACAAGAAAATCTGATACAGTACTGCAATTCAGACCAATTCCCAGGTCTTTTACATTTCCGCTCAACTCCAAATGATTCCAGTTACCAAAAGGATGAGCGCATGAGCAACAACAGCAACAAAGAGCAACAACAGCAACAAAGAGCAACAACAAAAACCTAAACATTTCTGACTTAGAGTTATTTATTTAGGTCTTCCTCCACCTTATATAGTGAGCTCCATGATGGTGGAATCCTATTTATATCTAACTTCCCAGTTCACCGCTGGTACGCAGAAGCTTAGAAAATCAGACTTCCCCATAGTTCAACTTGTGTGCTCTGTTCTTCATCCAAACAAAGTGCATGTGTAGTTTCCTGGGATGTTCTGTCTTTTCCAATTTCCTTCCATTAGTTGACAACCTTCTGTTTACTCAAATTGCCTTCTCTTCTGACACTCATGTATTAAAACCCTACACATTTTATAAGGCATTGCTTTAATCTTAAACTCACTTTGAATTTACCATGAATACTGGCTTCACCTTTCCCTCCCCTAAATTACATGTCAGTTTTCCTGGGTTTCTTATTCTAGTCTCTCATATTTTCTTTTTACATTTTTATTTATTTATTTACTTAGTGCACTGGTTATATTTCCTTTTCAAGGACAGGTTCTGAGTGGTTCTTATCAAATTATTACCTGGTATATAATGAGTGTTCATTCTCTGGTTAAAGAACAAACGAGTCAGAAAACTGGCAATGAGCTTTATTAGAATCTGCTCGAAGGTCATTCTGGGGACCAAGAAACTAGAAGGGAAAAGATGTGGATCTTGTTACCTTAGTTTATTAGAATAGGTTGAGAAAGGAATGAACAGAAAATTATACTTGATTTACATATAATATACCTTTTGGGATGGGGAAGTGTCTATTATATCATTGTCTTGAGGAAGAGTCAGTGCAAATGTTGGTGGTTTTGGATGAGGTGGCTGTGTAATTCTTTTACGTGCTTCCATGTCCTTGATACTGAGGCAACAATATCTCTCATTTCCACATAGCGCTTCATGTCTTTCGGTTATTTTGCAGATTCTCCTGCAACGTCCTTGTATATGGTTATCCCAGCACTTCTTAAGTTGTTCAGTTACTGTGCACAGAAAAGAGCAATAGGGAAAGATCAGAATCTGAGACTGAAGGCAGCCTTGATTATGGGGAAGGCAGAGGAGGCTTGTGGGGCTTAGAGGCATGGGGTGTCCACAAGGCATATTCTCCTAATATCCCAAAGAAAATTCTCCAACAAAGCGAACCTTAGGAGTTGTATTTAACTGGATGACTTGTATTTAGGTCCTGTAAGGTTTTGGGCCTTCTTTCAACATCTGATAGATTCCACCAAGAACATAAGATCTTGTTGGAGAAAATAAAGGAGCTGAATCCTTGATTCCAGGGTATGGAACTATGTTCCACATGGGAACCTCAGCAAGTCTCTCCATCCTGAACGCTCCCAGGGCACTACCTCCTACTACTGCCACACCTCTGATGCCCAGAGAACAGTATGTTGTCATTATGTATTTACATCTGAGTCAAACTATTCTCTTGAAACTATTCCCTACTGAGGTCAAGAATGACTTTCCTGCTATCCAGTCAGGTATTGTTCCCTTACTTATCTTCCTCCTTTATTTATTCTCAGCATTGTACACTTCTGGTGATTCACATCTTCCTTTGGCTTCTATGTCATCACAACAATCTGGATGTCCTTCTAACTCTTAGATTTGTTTTATGCCTCTGTGACTCCTCATTCTCCCTCCACCTCCAGAGGCAAGAATTCCTCCAATGTTCAGTCCTGCACTGTTGCTAACCTTGATATATATTTATTTCTTTATGATCCGAAATACTTTTGATGATGTAAGATTAGAGATGTTCGAATTTTAGCTCCTGGGTTTGTACTATAATCCCTGGACTCAACCCCAGAGGATGAAGACTGAGAACCAAGATGATCCTTTCAACCCCAAATTCTAGAACTCCTTTGAGTCTTAGGAATTTAGGAGGCCAAGGACAGATCATTATTATTCCTATAATAAGGTACAAATACAAAAGATCTCGTTTGAAAGGGGAAAGGAAACTCTCATTTTTAAGTTCTTAGTATGTGCCTGGCACCATGCTAGGTGCTTGACATATGTTATATCATTTAATAAAACCTCTGTGAGCCACGTGTCTTCATCTCCACAGATGAGAAAACTGAGACTCACAGTCTTTACTACTTATTCAAAGCTGACAAACTAATAGATATTGAAGGCATGTTTCTCAAACCTGACCCCAAAGTTTACTTCTTCCACTATTCACACACTGTAGCACAACAAGCCAAAATACATATTTGAGTGGAAGAAAATATGGCTGAGTGTTAGAGTAAAACCTGTATCCAAAGAAATAAGGGTACCCCTAGCTACTGGACTCATTCCTTTCTATAACAAATCCTTCCCAGAAGACATTATGACTTCTTTTCAGCTCTATGAGTACTTCTTTTTAAGGAGAGTACCATGGTATAAGACCCCAGGAAACGAAATTTCTGAAGATGTTGGATAGACCTTAGCCATCCTTGGGGGCCCTGTACCTCCTACTGTGGATTATGAAATTCCCTTAGGCTCTTGAAAATGCTTCATCCCATTGTTGATTTAGCTGAATCCCTGGAAAGCTCTGGGTTACCTGTTGGTTTCTGGAACAGCAGAATCGTAATGATCAGGAAGAGCTCCATGGTCAGGCTTCCCAGAGAAGATGCAGCCAGAGCTCTTGGTCCAGTGAACTGTGCACTATGTCACCTTCCTCAGAGACCTGGATTCTTATGCACTGAACCAGAACAGATGGTATGATATGAAATATGCCCCCAAATTTCTGAATTGTGGGCTTTTCGTCATGTGGGCAGACACAGGAAATTTGAGGTCACCCACTTTACCCCCACATGGAATTCAGAGACACAGCATGTTCCATCCCATCACACCTGATGCCATTCTGTAGGCTGTAGACTACTGGTGGGAAGAATCTGTGCTTTTCCTACTTTGGCCGTTTGCCCAGCTAGACCAAGGTAGACATTTATGCACCTCCGAGAATGCATAAGGAAATATAAACCAAGACATAAACTCCAAAATCCAACAAAAAGAATCCCTAATAGGTGTCTTTCATGTTTAGGAAGAAGGTATGATGTAGTTGGGTTTAATCTAAGGTCACCTTATTTTTGACAAAGGTGCCAGAACATATATTGGGGAAAGGACACCTTCTTCAACAAATGATGTTGGGAAAACTGGGTACCCATGTGCAGAAGAATGAAACTAGACCCCCATGTATCACCATATACAAAAATCCACTCAAAATGGATTAAGACTTAAGTGTAAGACCTGAAACTGTAAAACCACTAGAAGAAAACACAGGAAAACTGCTTCAGGACATGGATCCAGGCGAAGATTTTATGACTAAGACTTCAAAAGCACAGGCAACAAAAACAAAAATAGACAAATGGGACTATATTAAACTAAAAAGCTTCTGTACAGCGGAGGAAACAATCAACAGAAGAAAGAGACAACCTATAGAATGGGAAAAAATATTTACAAATTATTCATTTGACAAGGGACTAATATCTAGAATATACAAGGCAAAAAACCCAAATAACCAGATTAAAAAGTGGGCAAAAGATCTGAATAAACATACCTCATACTTCAAAAGAAGACATCAAAATGGCTAACAAATATATGAAAAAATAGTCGACATCAGTAATCATCAGAGAAGTGCAAATCAAAACCACAATGAAGTATAATCTTACCCTAGTTAGAATGGCTATTATCAAAAAGACAAAAAATAGCAAATGCTGGTGATGATGTGAAGAAAAGGGAACTCTTATACACTGTTGGTGGGAGTATAAATTAGTACAGCCATTTTAGAAAACTGAAGTTTTCCTCAAAAAACTAAAAATAGAACTAGTATACAATTCAGCAATCCTACTACTAGGTATCCAAAGGAAAGAAAATCGGTATATCAAAATGATACCTACATTTCCATGTTTATTGCAGCACTATTCACAATAGCTGAGATATGGAATCAACCTACATGTCCATTAACAGAAGAAAGGATATAGAAAATGTGGTCTATATATGCAGTGGAATACTCTTCAGCCATAAAAAGAATAGAATTCTGTGATTTGTGGCAACACGGATAGCCTGGAGGACATTATGTTAAACAACATGTCAGGTACAAAAAGATAATAACTGGATGTCCTAATTTAAATGTGGAAGCTAAAAAAAAAATTGATCTCATGGCAGTAGAGAGTAGAATTGTGGACAGTAGAAGCTGGGGAAGGTTTGGGGGAGGAGAGAACAGGAGAAATTGGTTAATGGATACAAAATTACAGCTAGACAGGAAGAATGAGTTCTGGTGTTACAGCACTGTAGTGTGAATATAGCTAACTACAATTCATTGCGTATTTTTTAAAAGCTAGAAGAGAGGATTTTGAATGTTCCCAATGCAAAGAAATTATAAATGTTTGAGGCGATGGATATGCTAATTACCCCGATTTGATCCTTACCCATGGTATACATGTATCAAAATACCACTCCGTATCCTACATATATGTGTAATCATTATGTGTCAACTAAAAATAAAAGAAGAATGGCTAAAATGGACAATTTTGTGTTATATACATTTTACCACAATTTTAAAAAAGATACAGAAGAGTATTCTTTCTTTTTTCCAGATGGACTTTGAGAATATTATTTTGATCTTTTAATTATCCTTTAACATATTTAAGATTCCTTCATCTTTATTATGTTATTTATTCCATTATTATTTAAATATGTATGTGTTCATGTGTGAGTCTTATAACTGAGAATCTTTTTTTTTTACTTTGTTTAATTTTTTTATTTCAGCATATCACAGGGGTACAAATGTTTAGGTTACATTTTTTTTTCCTCTTGAGACAAAGTCTTGCTCTGTCACCCAGGCTAGAGTGTTGTGGTGTCAACCTAGCTCACAGCAACTTCAGACTCCTGTGCTCAAGCCATCCTCCTGCCTCAGCCTTGGGAGTAACTGGACTGCAGGCGTGCACCACCACGCCCGGCTAATTTTTTCTAGTTTTAGTAGAGACGGGGTCTTGCTTTTGCTCAGGCTGGTCTCGAACTCTTGAGCTCGAGTGATCCTCCCTCCTCGGCCTCCCAGAGTGCTAGGATGACAGGTGTTAGCCACCATGCCCAGCTGTTACTGAGAATCTTGAGTAACTCTAAGGTATCTTTCACTAAGTAAAATGTGTCCACAAGGGGGAGATGTTCGCCTAGATTATTCTTAGATCATTGATTACATTTTTCAAAAAATTTCAACCCTGCTAACATTGCTATGCAGTAAAAAAATAAGCTAACTTTGGCTTTGGATGGAGGAGGTAAATATTAACGCTGTGTTAACCCTAGTTGGCTTGGATGAGCACTTCCCCATCGTTCAGGTCATGCAGTAGTTTTACACAGCAGTATCTTTTACACTGACGGAAATTAAGACGGAAGAAATCCTTTCTGCAGGCAAATATAAATTTAAGGCACTTTACCTCAGAGGTCCCAAGGATCACCTCTCTTCACCTTCGCCACAAGCCTTTACATAGTTTAAACAATAGTCAAAGAGTTGGTTTTATTATTTATTGATAGTCTTCCTATGGACATGAATTTCCTCTACAGGTGACCTGTTGGTGGAGCATCAAATAAGGACAGTAAGTTAAGTCTGCGCAATCAGAAATATATAAGGATTTCTTCTTGTTTAAGTTTTATTTCTGAAACTGAGTGTTAAATTAATAATGAGAAACATAATCATAGGAATGGGTCCTAGTACTGAGGACAAATTACTAATAAACAAATAAATAAAAAATGTATAATATTCATGTTAGCAGAAGAAAATATGATCTATCCAACAGCAATGAAGAAAATGGGGAATAGATAGGTCACAACTAGAGGGCAGGAAAAAGTCCTCATATACCAGTAATTATAATACATTCTTATGGCTTAAACTCATTGATCAAGTAACAGAGTTTCATCATTGGATTAAAAAAAGATTCCAGCAATGTCAGACAATAAGACACGTTAATAGTAAACTTTTCTTAATGGAAATACAGCAGAATAGATATATTGAACAATGTATCTGGTGAGAATGATTCAAAAAGTTTGATAAACTTAAAAAGAAAATTATTATAATACTGTGCAGCTGTCACAAAACTAAAGGAATTTGCACAGGCCAAAAACTAAGAATGGAAACTCTGGAAGGTAAAAGGAGCAGCATTTTGATAGCTGTGTGGGATGTATAAAATCAACATCCAGTCCAAGGTGAGACATGTAATTGATACCCTTATATAAACCTGGGATTCAAAGGCAACAACCTCAGCATAAAGAAAAATGAAATCTCTCTCTCTCTCTCACACACACACATGGTCTGTATTGAATCTTTTTTTTTTTTTTTGGCCGGTGCTAACTTTGGCTTTGGATGGAGGAGGGAAATATTAACCCTGTGTTAACCCTAGTGAATTGTAACCACAGCTTCTCATGGGTTTTCAATCTAAGTTCAAGCTACTTATATGGATGAAAAAAATCAAGTAGAGAATTTAATTTTAAGTAGTCCCAGTTAGTACAGCTAGGTGATTGGTGGAAGCAAATGTCAATCTTTTCTTCATGCATCCGAGGCACCCAAAAATTTCCAAATGTGAAATTCCAATTAAAATGAGAATCTTACAGCTTAACATCATAAAACACAAAATGAAATATGGTCCCATGGGTATGAGTCATTAGAAGGTCAGACATTAGAAATGGAAGCAATATACAATAATAATAACAACAATGACAGGAATAATAATGACAAACCCTTATATAGCACTTTCTACAATATGTGCCTTGTACTCCTCTAGGTGTTTTACATGTATGAACTCATTTACTCTCACAGCAACATTTTGAGGTACATATTATTATCTCCATTTTACAAATGAGAAACTGAAAGGCACAGAAAATCAGAAAACTTACCTCAGATCCCACTGCTGGAAAGAGATGGAGCTGGGTTTGAATCCAGGCTCTAAAAATGCAATATGGTAGCTACCAGAAACATGGCTGTTTGAATTTAAATTAACTAAATGTAAATAAAAATTTAAAGTTTAGTTCTTTAGTCATTTTAGTGCCCAAAATATTATAGAACACATTTCAAATGCTTTCCAGCCATGTGACTAGTGGCCACCATATTATACAGTACAGATCTAAAACACTTCCATCTTTGCAGAAACTTACTGGAGAGCACTGTTCTGTGGGCTGAAAATTCACAACTGTATTATGTGCCTAATAGTGGATTAGCAGATCATTTTTAGATTCATTCAACCAGCACCAAGTAAAAATATAGAACTCTTCATCACAAAAAGATCTTCCTCTCTTACTGTTTTATAGTCACAGTCACCTTCCTCTCTTGACTATCCATAACTCCTGGAAAATGATAATTTTTTTTACACTTTCATAATTTTTAAATTTCAAGAATCTAATCATGTACTATGTGACCCTTGACATTGTCTACTTTCCCCCCATTTAGCATAATGCTCTTGAAATCCATATAAGTGTTTGCACGTAACAATAGTTTATTTTTTGTTGCTGAGTGGTATTCCATAGTATGGATGTACCACTCTTTGTTGGTCAATCACCTATCAAATGACATTTTGGTTGTTTACAGTTTTGGGCTATTATAACGCTGCCATTAATATCACTG